CATACTAGGAAACAAAGCAATATAAATTGTAAAGATACAAGCAACATGGTTATAGTCATAAGTGGATACTAGGAAGGATGAGAATAATAATACTGTCTTTACAGTGTTGTGGGAATTAGTTGTTTAGCAGAGTGATAGCATTCAAGGAAAAACTGTCCTTGTGTCTAGTTGTTCTGGTGTGCAGTGTCCTATAGCATCATTTTGAGGGTAGAAGTTAAAACAATTTATGTCCAGGATGTGAGGGGTCTGTAAATATTTTCACAGCCCTCTTTTTGACTCATGCAGTATACAGGTCCTCAATGGAAGGCAGATTGGTAGCAGTTATTAAGGTACAGTATTACCTGAAACAGAACAATGGTTTTAAAAGTGGTCAAAGGAATTGTCCCAATTAGTCAGCCTAGATTTGATCCATCTATCCAAGTCTTTGGCTCTTAACAGCAGTTTTCAGTATAATCCCCTGAAATGTATGCTCAATATATTCAACACAAGATAAATGTATGTTTTCAGGCATCTACTGTAGGTGTATCAGTTCAGATGCTTAACACATCTTTAAAAAGAAAAGAAAAAAGTTTTGGAGAGTGTTATTTCTGGAGGGACTGCCACTTGGCAGGGCGAATTTTTGACTGCAGGTTTTTGTTTCCTCCTCCAACAGATCATCATAAAGCGAAGCTCTGATGGAATCCAAAGTATTTTTAACAGCAACCAAGCTGTCTTGGGATAAACCAACAACAAATGGGGAGGGGTGTTCCTTTCAAGTTCCGTCCCTCTCCAGGAGCCTTTGCCAAACGATCTGCCCCATTTGGTACTAAGGTTGTGCCGCACAGGGTCAGCTTTATAAAGGCAAGCCCGTCACATGCCCATTGCCGTCTACCTCACGTGTCAGGCACTGCCGGGCAACGTTGCCTAGCAACCTGGCTCATTCCCTGAGAAGCTGACATCAGCCTTGGCATGGGAGGGAAAGGGAGGAAAGGCTGGCTGACTGGCGTTGACACCTTTGAAGGAAAGGGAATGATCCTGTTCCCCAAAGGGGACTCTCACCAGTTTGTTTGTTTTTTTAAAAAAAGAAACTAATTAATGTATTAAATGCATAATGTGGGGGTAAAGAGAATGCATCCTCTGCGTCAACGAGCTTACAATTACTCTTAGGTCAATGTGCAGCCAACTTGACTGGCTTCAATCATGATTCTCCTGTTAAAAAGATTTACTCTCCTCTTCTCCCATATCTATATCCCTTGTTCCCCAAAACCCAGCTCATTATCTCTCCTCCTGAAATCTTGCAGGCTTCTTAACTAGAGCCACTTCTAATCTCCATGTCATTTTAATACTAATTGCCACAAAAAAGGGAACTTAACGCTCAAATTATCAAAGTCTCCCTTGGACAGCCCTCATCTATATCCACCTCTGAAACAGCAGGTTTGATCATTGCAGAGGCAGCTCTTTTGCTGGAAATTCCTGAGTCTGAAGAAAAAAACTGAAAATAAACGTAACAGTGTGTGTGTGTGTGTGTGTGTGTGTGTGTGTGTGTGTGTGTGTGTTTGTGTATAAAAAAAAAAGTCCCTGAACCTATTTATTGGAAATTTGACATTTA